GTGCTTATGTGATCCGCTTCGTTGGATATTCCGATGGCAATCATCGATAAGCAATCTACTTACCCGTGAGCCATGACCGTTAAAGCAATCAACATTGGAGCGATAAATATCCGGTTTCCATGCTTCAGCGCTAAATTGTTGACATTTCAGAAGAAAAATCAACAGGATTTGACGTCCTCGGGCCATCACCGGACAATTCCAAGTTTGGATAATCTACAAATTTGTTGCACCCCTGTTTTAGAGTAAAAATTAATGACACATACTACCCTGCCATTTGCAAACAAGCTGAGAATTCTAGTGGGGTCCTTGGCTTTTACAGGCTTTACAAGGTTTCACAACTACTAATTCCTTAAAACGATACAGTGAATATGAGCGGGAAGGCTGAGCCAGTGCGACACGGATCTAATCAGTTTTCTTTCAACACAGCAGTCCAGCTATTTTTGGCAATATTCGTCAAAATCAAATACACCAAATGATGTTATTCATATCACCGAATCAACCGTGTAAAACCCACTGTGCACATAACCGAGACATATTTTCTACTTAAAGAACAAACTTGAATGACGCAACGCGAAGCTCCTGGCCTTGGGAGCGAACATCCGAAGATAGTGAACAGGATATCAATGGTTTTTGGGATGAACAAGAAAAAAAATTAAACAGAAATTCCTTTTAGCTTCCATAGATGTTATTGAGCTTTAAAAACAGTTGTCACTTGTTAGCCAACGGGATTCGAAGTACTCAAAGGACATTTTATAGAAAACTAGATCCAACAAGGCCAATACTGAGGCGAGATATTCACCGATGTAACTGTGCGAAGAAGCGCAGTGCACACTAATCTGTAGGAATGTCTCCGACGTAAGGCAAGCTGTTGAAACCAAACGAGTTTTACATACTTGATGGGACAGAAGCAGAGTCTTTCTCTAATCTTGTGCTGCTGGTGGTCATCAACACAGCTCATATTCACTCACCTTAGTAAGTTTCGTCCAAGGAAGTGATCTATTCTTCCTTTCAACCCAAGGCACGTACTTGTTGCACGAATCATGAATCCGTTTCATGTTGTCTGGAATATTGCATTTGCTTGGATCAGAGGATACGATGTAAGAAGATATAGGAAGACATAAGAAGTGTCCTTGATTGGGAACGCAGGCTTCTGAATCAGTGGGCGAGTAAACCTCATGGTCACACTACCTGGTCCTTTTAAGACAGCTTCTCATTCTGAAGATCCTTTACATTGTCTTTAAAAACGACAGCCTCTGAAATGAATTAGGATAAAATCCTCTTAGAACCCACACTGATATCATTCGCAATTACCCAGGATTAGGCTTTCGTATGCAAGCGAACGGTAAAAGTGGGTGGAATGAGTGTTTTGATTGTAATGGGTACGAATTTTCCAGGGCTTCCCTCTGTTGAAGAGAGTGTCGTTGATGAAATGTTTTTACCTACCGATTGATCTTTCTTTTTTTGTACCAACTGAGCTTTGTGTGGCAGTGACTCGAGCTAGAACACAGTTCATGTGAGATATCTACTTGAATCACGTTACACTAGAGCTCTTGGAAAAGCTGAGCTAAAAATAAATGAGTTCCACAAGAAACCTCTGAGTTCTCTGGGCGTTTTTCCGGGCTATCAATGAAGAGTCACGAAAATTAGTCCGGTGATATTTACCGGACTGCACAATCAGTTTTAAACACTGCCAAACAAGCCGGTGTACATGTGA